GAGAAGGCCCTCAGAGGAGGGGAGGGAGCCGTGACTTGGGGAGGAGGGCCTGGGAATGGCCCCCAGCGCTCAGGTTGGTTCGTGGCTCGTGGCACAGCGGCTGCATTGTTGCCTGTCCTCCCCCCTTGCTGGCCGTGCATGTGTCTCCAGCGTCTCACACAGGTCTGGGCTTTGTGGACGCTCAGTGAGTGGCGGCCCTGCTGGCTAAGGTTTGACAGGTATGGAAAAGGCCTGTCCCACGTCTCCAGGCAGGGCAGGACCCTGGTCCCGACAGGTGGCAGGGAGAAAGCCTTCTGTCTGGGGACCTCACCCGCTGCTGCCATTCTATGGCATCCTGTAGCCTTTTCATCAAAGTCTGCTTTGAACTTGAAACCGCAGTAAATTCCACCGTGCCTTTTGTCTGGGTGGGGACTGCTGTCTAGGAAAGGATCGGCTGCTCGAGTGAGGCTTGTCTGTGTCGCCTGGCTGGCTGGGAGTCGGTGGTGGCCCTTTGCTTTCATGGGGGTCTGTAGCAGTGGGGAGTGGGAGGGAGGTAAGGCCCAGGCTCTGTCTGCAGGGAGCTTCCAGAGAGCAAGCTCGAACTGGCCTGTGAGGCACGGGTCGAGAGGGCCAGCCATCAGCCCGGTTACATACTGACACATACACCAGCTCCCCTGGGAGAGGGTCATTGCTGGACACATCCCCAGCTGTTCCTCACCTAGCCCTTTGTTGTCTCAATGGGGAAGCTAAGGCACAGATATGAAGCACCCCTTGGGGGATGTAGGCTCTGTCGGGGCTTTCCTGTGCCTTCCTAGTAAGAGTGGGGGATTCCAGGGTTTGGTCCCTGTAGGGGGGGTGGGGGGGTGGCAAGTTACCCCTACACAAAAGAGCAGCCACATGCGGTCGCCACAGGCTTGTGACCTCGGCTTTAGCAGCTGTTGAAACAACTGGTCCCTGGGCCTGTGACCCCTGGAAGGGGCGAGGGCTGGGGGGAGATTACCTGAGGGTCTGCCTGGGCCCGACAGCTGGGAAGGACAGCTGAGCAGGCAACTCCTGCCAGGAATAGCCACACTGGTCCCCCTGGCCCTGGGAACCCAGCTCTGTTCTCTGAGCAGAGACAGGTAGAAACAGACTCTTAGGTAAGCCACAGTTCACAGATGTTGGGGAGTCCCTCTGCACAGGGGTGTGTGCTCAGATTGGGGAGGGAGGACTAGGCCCCACCAGCTGGGCTTTACCGGCCTGGGGGACAGGGACACGGTTCTTAGCCCGTTTGCCTATCTGCAAGGTAAGGATACAATGTGTAAAGGGCTCCCGGTCCACTGGGAGATGTGGCACATTTTACAGATGCACCCGTTATTTTAGTGGTAGTAATTTCTTAAGTTGCCAGAGAGAGAGAAAGGTGGTAGCAGGTGGGGAGGTAGGGAAGCACCCCCATAGGGCGTGGCCATGCCACAGACCCTTCTTTTCTCCATCCCGTTGGGATTTCAGCTTGCATGCACATGTATTTTTAAGCCAGTGGAGCCAGGATTCAAACCACAGTTGGCTAAGTGGGATCTGGCTCTCCCTAACTGCTAGCTATGGGCTGGCCCAGTGATAACAGCATTAACACTTGGGAAAGGGGGGAGTGGGCCACCATCTAATCTTAGCTCCTCTTCCTGTGACTGCTTTCCAGAGCTGCCTCTCCTAAGGAAGGGGCTGTCAGACCTGGTGAGAGGATTGGGAGTTTTAGGTGGGGAGAGGGTATGCTTTCCAGTCCCCAGTCCTGGCAGGATCCCAGCAGGAGCTGCTTATAATACAGGATCATCCTAGATCAGCTCCAGGAGCCCAGCCCAGGTGCAGGGCCCAGCAGGAGCCAGAGGCTCCTACCTGGGGTTTTATAGCCAATTAAAGGGACTGGCTAAGTGGGATCTGGCTCTCCCTAACTGCTAGCTATGGGCTGGCCCAGTGATAACAGCATTAACACTTGGGAAAGGGGGGAGTGGGCCACCATCTAATCTTAGCTCCTCTTCCTGTGACTGCTTTCCAGAGCTGCCTCTCCTAAGGAAGGGGCTGTCAGACCTGGTGAGAGGATTGGGAGTTTTAGGTGGGGAGAGGGTATGCTTTCCAGTCCCCAGTCCTGGCAGGATCCCAGCAGGAGCTGCTTATAATACAGGATCATCCTAGATCAGCTCCAGGAGCCCAGCCCAGGTGCAGGGCCCAGCAGGAGCCAGAGGCTCCTACCTGGGGTTTTATAGCCAATTAAAGGGACTCCTGCTTCCCATGCACTGAGGGGTGGAGCATTCACCTGAGGTCACCAGAACCTGCCTGGAAGCCCTTCTCCCCACTCCTGGGCCTCTTGTGGCTTTAGATATTTTTGAATCCTTTAGTTTAGGTGTAACTCATTCTCATCAAAGTACTAAGTGAATGTCCATTTTCATGGGCCAGGCATTGTTTCCAGTGCTTTATATATGTCTGCTCAGCACAACCCTATTACGAAGGTACAGATGAGGTTACCGAACACCCACCGAGACGTGGAGGTGTTCAGTAACCTCCCCTCGTGCACACAGCAGGCACGGGGCAGAGCTGGGGGGACAAAGAGTGCCTGGGCAGCTCACTGAGCTGCAGGGCCAAATGGCCTCTACCTCCTGGGGTCTCGAGGATGGAACAGAAGAGCCTTGGGGGTCATTCGCCCCAGGGTCCCACCCAGGATTGCTCTCCAAACAAGAGACAAAAGGGGACATCCTGCAGGCTGGCGTGGTGGTTTAGGTGCTCGACTCCCAGATGGCCGATCATGGTTCAAGTCCCAGACCTGGTGACTTGCTTTCTTACTTTCCCTCTCTCTCTGGTCAAATGAAAAACTAACAATAATATGGGACCAGCAGATCGCGTAATGGTTACGTCACTGGACTCCCACATAATTGACAACTATTCGAGTCTCAGACCTGACAACCTAAACTCACACTGGGCGCATGTGTATGTGCTTGCCCAAAATCCCAGGAGAAGAATGGAAGAGAAGGGATTGCAGCGTGGCCATACTCCTGGGGGTGATTTCTCGCTTTGTCTCTCTGTCTCTCTAGCAAGCACAATGCCCTATAGCAAAAAATCTCTCTCTCAAAAACATAAAAACAAAAACCTAAGAATAATAATTTAAAAATTAAATAATTCTAAAAACCTGTAGGAGGGCATTCTGATGCAGGAAGGAGTGAAAGATGAGACTGTCCCGTTTGCAGGGGTTGGTCGGATTTGGAGTGATCGTAGTATCAGCCTGGAAGATGGTTGCTCAGCACACAGTGGCAGGTGGGTAAAAATCCCCTGAGCCAAGAGCCAGAGGCCTGTGGCCAGAGCTTGGCTCTGCTGCCCAGCCTGTGGGACCCAGGTGTGGCACCTGGTGTCTCTGAGCTTCAGTTTCCTCAGCTGTGACGTGGGGACGCATCAGGGTTGGATGAGTTACTGCACATCACGCTCAGAGTCTCATTCGAAGGGTGTGGTTACTGAAGTCAGTGAAGCCGTTACGCCCACTCCCTCGCCCGTCAGAGCTTCCCATCCTGGCTGCCCATGCCCGGGTCCCCAGAGAAAGGAACCGTGCCTGGCCACCTGTGCAGCTCTGTCCTTGAGAGTCGGCTTCCAGCCCTGAGGACAGTGACTCAGTGGCCCTTGAGACAGCACCCAGGCAGCTTGGGCCTGGGGTTTGTTGGCCTTGAATGAGAGGAGGGTGCTGCCTGTGGAAAGGACCGGAATTGGCAGCTTGGAGGATGGAGTGGGTGCATGGCAGCCTCTGTCCCCAGTCTCCTCACATTTTCCGGGCCCTTCCACCTCTGCAGCAGGAGGAGTGGGGTGAAACCTCTGTCTGTGGCTTGGTCTGACAGGAGGTGCTGGGGCCAACCTGGAGACCTTGAGGTGCAGGTGTGCAGGCAGCCCAGGACAAGAAATGGGTTGAATGGGGCGACGTGTGCTACCTGACAGCTTAGTCGAGTCATGGGGAGACACACATACACACACACACACACACACACACACACGCACGCACACACACACGGTTCAACCCTGCCTTGTCACTTTGTGAGTGACCTTCTGCATCGGTAGCATGTTAGAGCTCCGGCCTGGAAGGCAGGACCCCAACCCCAGGTTTGGGTCCTATTTGTGCTGCGTGGTCTTAGGCAAGGCCCTTGCCCCTTAGAGACTCTCATGGTCTTTTTTGGGGATTTTTTTTTTTTTTAAGAATTATTTAATTAATTTATTATTTTAATTTGACCAGAGAGAGAGAAAGGGAAAATGAGAAAGCAAGGCGCTAGGTCTGGGACTCATACCATTGTCAGCCATGTGAGAGTCCAGTGCCCTAACCACCCTGCCACCATCTGGCCCTGGAGACTGTCATTCTTAAAAGGAGGGATTGGACGATGGGACCCTCTAGGCTCAGTTCGGGCTAGAGAGCCCAGCGCTCAGCCCCGGGAATGGCGAGTTAATGCTTGCGTCCACCTCCTGCCCTGCCTTTCACTCTCCCAGTCTCACCGTGGGCTGCAGCTCGAGAGCGGGAGGCTCGGGAGGAAGAGTGGGGTTTTCCTGGCACCTTCCTCGCCCCAAGAGGTCTGTGGCAGTGTCCATCCTTGGCTACCAAGGGACAGGTTGGGAGCCTTTGTGGGGCCTGGAGCTGTCTGGGGACCAGAGTCAGGGTCATAGAGACCTCTGCATGACATCAGAGCTATGTGTGGTCTCTGAAGTCCCCAGCCCACTGAGAAGGGAATGAGGGTGGGGCTTGTAACCCTGAACAATGGCTTTATCCTTGGCCCTGGGTTTTGAGCGACCTTGAGCAGTGGGAAGTCCTCACTCCTGGGGAAGTATTTTCCTGAGCTTTTACTTCTTGGAACCTCCCAGAGGGGCTGTCTAGGAGAGAACTGGGGATGGCCAAGGCCACGCTGCCAGCTCCACATGCCTCAGTTTCCCCATCGTTCACTGATACTCGCACTCTCCAGCTCTGCTGCTCTTGGGGCCAGGGGTCCGGTTCCCATGCCAGCCCTAACTGCCGCCTTTCTCCTGTTCCACAGGCTCCCCCCTGCACAAGCAGGCATCGGGCACCTCCGTGGCAGCTGCTGCCCCTGAAAAGCCGGGCCCAAAGGCGGCCGAAGTGGGCGATGACTTCCTGGGGGACTTCGTGGTGGGCGAGCGGGTGTGGGTGAATGGCGTGAAACCGGGTGTGGTGCAGTACCTGGGTGAGACGCAGTTTGCACCAGGCCAGTGGGCTGGCGTGGTGCTGGATGATCCAGTGGGCAAGAACGATGGTGCTGTGGGCGGCGTGCGCTACTTCGAGTGCCCAGCCCTGCAAGGCATCTTCACACGGCCCTCCAAGCTGACCCGGCAGCCCACAGCTGAGGGCTCGGGCAGCGATGCCCACTCAGTGGAGTCGCTGACCGCCCAGAACCTGTCACTGCATTCAGGCACGGCCACACCCCCACTGACCAGCCGTGTCATCCCACTGCGGGAGAGCGTCCTCAACAGCTCCGTCAAGACGGGCAACGAGTCGGGCTCCAACCTCTCGGACAGTGGCTCCGTGAAGCGGGGTGACAAGGACCTGCGCCTGGGAGACCGCGTGCTGGTGAGTGTGGTGGCACTGGACTCCCTTCCCTCCTCCGCGGGACCCTGGGGGCTGGGCCAGGAAGGGACCTGAAGGGGGCTTGGGCAGGGTCCAGCTGTGGCACGTGCTCCTCGTCAGAACCCCAGAGTGAAGTAACGGGAGCTCTGGAGGCTGTCACAGTGCGACCCCGGGCAAGCGCTTGACCTTTCTGGGCCTGAGTTTCCTCATCTATGTCATGGGATTTTTGTAAGTTTTTTTTTTTTTTGGCTTGCCAGAGAGAGAAAGAGGGAAAGTGAGAATTCAGCTCCTGAGAGCATAGCCACTCCGCTGCCCCTTCTCCGTTCTCTTCTCGGGAGTTCTAGCCTGTGTGCACGTGTGCCCAGTGTGCTTTCCAGGATGCTGAGTCCAGGACTTGAACCGCATAGTTAGCCGTGTGGGATCCAGTCACCTTAACCTCTGGGCTGCCCGCTGTCACTCGTGGGCTGGAACACACTCATGGGTCATGGATGTAGATGGTACCCCATACATGTTAGCTATTATTGATGCTCTCCATTGGTTCAGCCAGCCAACACGCATGTGCCTGCATGTACTGGAAAAGGCTAGGGACCAGAGGGTCCAAGCCCTCCGGCCCAGGGTCAGGTGGTATAGACACCTGGTCAGTTTAACCTGAGTGATCAGTGTTGTTGATGCCAAGAGAATCGGGTCACTGGAGCTGAAGGTCTGTCCTCCCATGGTCCCAGGTGATGGGGCTAAGTTGGAGAAGGGACTGTGGCCCTCATGTCCTTCAGAGTCTCGGGTCATCCTGCATGGGATTTTTGTAAGTTTTTTTTTTTTTTGGCTTGCCAGAGAGAGAAAGAGGGAAAGTGAGAATTCAGCTCCTGAGAGCATAGCCACTCCGCTGCCCCTTCTCCGTTCTCTTCTCGGGAGTTCTAGCCTGTGTGCACGTGTGCCCAGTGTGCTTTCCAGGATGCTGAGTCCAGGACTTGAACCGCATAGTTAGCCGTGTGGGATCCAGTCACCTTAACCTCTGGGCTGCCCGCTGTCACTCGTGGGCTGGAACACACTCATGGGTCATGGATGTAGATGGTACCCCATACATGTTAGCTATTATTGATGCTCTCCATTGGTTCAGCCAGCCAACACGCATGTGCCTGCATGTACTGGAAAAGGCTAGGGACCAGAGGGTCCAAGCCCTCCGGCCCAGGGTCAGGTGGTATAGACACCTGGTCAGTTTAACCTGAGTGATCAGTGTTGTTGATGCCAAGAGAATCGGGTCACTGGAGCTGAAGGTCTGTCCTCCCATGGTCCCAGGTGATGGGGCTAAGTTGGAGAAGGGACTGTGGCCCTCATGTCCTTCAGAGTCTCGGGTCATCCTGCAACCTGAACGTGGCAGTGTGTGCTGGCAGTATGCCGTAGGCCAGGCCTGGGCTGGGGGTGCCAGTAGGGGCAGGGCAGTCGTGTCCTGCCATGCCAAACCCATGGTCTAGGTGGCCCCTGCTGACCCTGCCCCCCAAGGACCACAGTGTTGACAGGGGGAGATGCCATACCTGGGGAAAAGGTCTTTGAAGGTGTCTGGTGGACTTTGGTGTGAGGAGCCAAGAGGAGGTAGCCAGGCCGGGGAGACAGGGTCCCTGCCACAGTCACTGAGGCGTCCTGTAGGAGTTGTTCCCTTCAAGATGGGGGCCGCATGCCTGGAGATCCTAAGGCTGAGTGGGGAAGGTGGAGGAGTCTTGGGTCCCAGAGTAGGGACCTTACCCCACAGGGCCAGGCTTTCTCCTGGAGGCTGTTGGGAGGACCACTTTGGGTCAGGGGGATAAGGGGCAAGAACAAATGTCCACACCCATGGCCCTGTTGCATCCTCAAGCCTGTGCTGTGATGGAGTTTTAGCATCTCCACTTAGGGATGAGGAAACGGAGACTCAGAGAGGTTTAAGGCCTTGCTGAGGTGACTGCAGGCCCAGACCCTGTAGCCTGCCCACTTTCACTGAGCCGCATGCCTCTATGCCCTGATGAGGAGGGGGCTCTGCCCATCCTGGGGCAGGTTTGCCAGCCTGCTGCCCCGTGATGGGACTTCTCCTGGGGTGACCTGGTGGGGGTGGCCAGCTTGGTCCTTCCAGTCTGCCGGGCAGAGAGCTCGAACCACAGGATGGCAGGCCTCGGTGTCTCTGCACAGACTGCTGTGGAAAGGCAGGCTGCGGTGCTCTGAGAGTTGCCACAGAGGGCTGCCCCCGAGGAATTGTGGAAGGGCAGAGCTTGGGGAGTGGCTCAGCACCGACCTGTGACATGGGACAGGCCAGAGAACTGTGGCCCAAGGAGCTAGGAAAACAGAGAACAGTGATGCCTAGTGCTTAGCAAGGCGAGGTAGGGGAGGAAAATGCTCAGAGGCTGGCCCGGAAGACCCCACAGAGGGGTCCTGGCTTGGAGCTGGGGCTTTGCTCTGAGAGCAGAGTCCCTCGGTTGATCCAGACATGCTGGGCACACATGCCCATGGTCTTGGCTGACTGGGAGAGGCTGGGGAGGATGAGACCCTGTTGAGGGTGCTTCCCCCACCAAGATAAATAACTAAACTTAAAAAAACAAAACAAACAAACAAAACAAACAAACAAAAAAACTCCAGACCTGCCCCAGAGCCTAGTGGGTAAGGGAACTGGATCCCACGTGGCCAGCCATGGTTTGAAGCCTTGCCCTGGTGGCTTCAAAACTTGTGAGGAGCCAAGAGGAGGTAGCCAGGCCGGGGAGACAGGGTCCCTGCCACAGTCACTGAGGCGTCCTGTAGGAGTTGTTCCCTTCAAGATGGGGGCCGCATGCCTGGAGATCCTAAGGCTGAGTGGGGAAGGTGGAGGAGTCTTGGGTCCCAGAGTAGGGACCTTACCCCACAGGGCCAGGCTTTCTCCTGGAGGCTGTTGGGAGGACCACTTTGGGTCAGGGGGATAAGGGGCAAGAACAAATGTCCACACCCATGGCCCTGTTGCATCCTCAAGCCTGTGCTGTGATGGAGTTTTAGCATCTCCACTTAGGGATGAGGAAACGGAGACTCAGAGAGGTTTAAGGCCTTGCTGAGGTGACTGCAGGCCCAGACCCTGTAGCCTGCCCACTTTCACTGAGCCGCATGCCTCTATGCCCTGATGAGGAGGGGGCTCTGCCCATCCTGGGGCAGGTTTGCCAGCCTGCTGCCCCGTGATGGGACTTCTCCTGGGGTGACCTGGTGGGGGTGGCCAGCTTGGTCCTTCCAGTCTGCCGGGCAGAGAGCTCGAACCACAGGATGGCAGGCCTCGGTGTCTCTGCACAGACTGCTGTGGAAAGGCAGGCTGCGGTGCTCTGAGAGTTGCCACAGAGGGCTGCCCCCGAGGAATTGTGGAAGGGCAGAGCTTGGGGAGTGGCTCAGCACCGACCTGTGACATGGGACAGGCCAGAGAACTGTGGCCCAAGGAGCTAGGAAAACAGAGAACAGTGATGCCTAGTGCTTAGCAAGGCGAGGTAGGGGAGGAAAATGCTCAGAGGCTGGCCCGGAAGACCCCACAGAGGGGTCCTGGCTTGGAGCTGGGGCTTTGCTCTGAGAGCAGAGTCCCTCGGTTGATCCAGACATGCTGGGCACACATGCCCATGGTCTTGGCTGACTGGGAGAGGCTGGGGAGGATGAGACCCTGTTGAGGGTGCTTCCCCCACCAAGATAAATAACTAAACTTAAAAAAACAAAACAAACAAACAAAACAAACAAACAAAAAAACTCCAGACCTGCCCCAGAGCCTAGTGGGTAAGGGAACTGGATCCCACGTGGCCAGCCATGGTTTGAAGCCTTGCCCTGGTGGCTTCAAAACTTCACTGGGCATGTGCGTGTGCCCTAGATCCCTACAAGATGGAGAAATGGAGGAAAAGGGATTGCAGTGTGACCCTGCCCCATTGGGGGCACTCCCTTCCTTTCCCTGTCTCTGAAAAGAAATCAACCCCTAAAGGGATGGCCATGCTGCCATCCTTTCTCCTCCATTCTCCCACCGGATTTTGGCATGCTTGCACACATGCCTAGTGTCATTTTCAAGCTGCCAGGTCCAGAACTCAAGCCACACAGTTGGCCATATGAGGCTTAGTGCCTTAACCGCCACGTCATCTGCTGGCCCCTGTTTCTGTCTGTCTTTGACAAGCAGACACACCCTATGGCAATTAGAAAAGAAAATTTAGAAATGTTAGAAGGTAAATAAATCTCTCATAAAGTAGGGGAAAGGGCAGGTGGAAAACAAGAAAGAACAGAGAAGAATGTTAGAGCTCTCATCCAGTAGATCCAGCTTCTGAGAGATTGGTTGCAGAGAACAGAGGGACCAAATAAGTAATTCGAGAAAATTCCCCAGGATTGGTAAGGGTTTCCTGATTAAAAGGGCCCATGGGAGCCCAGGATGGGGGATGGAATGAGGCCCACCCCAAAGTACCTCTTGCGAAGCTGCAGGATCCTGGGACAAAGAGGAAGTGTGGCAGAGCCCTCTAGGGTTTTCCACTGGTTGGAAAGATGGGTCTCACCTAAAGGATCTGGAAACTGGCTTCAAACTTCTCAACAGCAACAGTTAAAGCCTTGGAGTATGTGGAGGGAGCTTTGGGAATTCTGGAGGAATGGATTTAGCCAAACTTATTCAAGAATGAGGATGGTGGGGCCAGCAGTTGGCATAGTGGTTAAGGTGCTGGACTCTGATGTGGCCAACCGCAGTTCAAGTCCTAGACCCAACAGCTTGAAACTCTGCGTGCATGCCCCAAATCTTGAGAGAGAATGGAGAAGGGATTGTAGCATGACCATCCCCGGTGTGGGGGGGAGGTGATTGCTCGCTTTTTGTCTCTCTGTTTCTGTTTGTCTCTTCAGCGGGCACATATACCCTTTAGCAAAAATCTCTCAAAAAAATAGTAACGAGGGTGGCGGGGCCCAGCTGCAGTGGCACGTGCTGGTAAGAAGCTGCTCAGCAGGTGAGGTCACATGGGAGGCCTGGGCTTGCCTCTGGCCTGAGCTGATGAAGGCCGGGCACAGCAGCAGGCACCTGTAGTTCCAGCTCCTCAGGAGGCTGAGGCAGGAGGATCATGACATAGTGAGACCCTGTCTCAAGATAATACTAATAAAGAAGAATGAGGGTAGCAAGAGAGTTGAAAGCAGGTATTCACGGGGCCAGTCAGCGGTGTGGTGATTAAGGTGCTGGACTCTCACGTGGCTGACCACAGTTTGAGCCCTGGACCTGGTGGCTTGGAAATCCCACCATGTGCATGCGTGTGTGTGCCTAAAATCCCGAGAGGAGAATGGAGAAGGGGTGTGGTATGGCCATCCCCCCTGGGGGCGATTTGTCACTCTCCCTCTCTGTCACTCTTCAGCAAGCACACATGCCCTGTGGCAAAAACCTAAAAAAAGAAAGCAGGTATCCACACAAAAACTTGTGCATGAATATTTATAGTAACATTATCCCTAATAGCAAAGAGTGGAAACAGCCCAGATGTTCGTCAGGATGTGGTAGATCCACACAATGGACTATCATTAGGCCATGAAAAGGAGCGAGGTTCTGCTTCACACTGCCGCTTCCTGCTGCGTGAAAGAAGACAGACACAGATGGACTCACATCGTGTGGTTCCATGTACAGGGAATGTCCAGAATAGACAAGTCTGTAGAGACAGAAAGCAGCCTGGTGGTTGCCAGGCGCTGGAGGGAGGAGGGGATGGGCAGTGGTGGCCAGTGGGGACAGGGCTTCGTTTGGTGATGAAATGTTCTGGAATTAGGTGTGGTGATGGTTGTGAATGTACTGAAAGCTGCTGAACTGTTTTAAAATGGTGCATTTTATATGAATTTCATCTCCATTATAACAAAAAGAATCAGGCTAGAATCAAAAATATTTTCATATATGAAAAGCTCAACTGTTCTATGCACCTTTTTTATTTTTTATTTTTTTGAGAGGTTTTTGCTATAGGGCTTGTGTGCTTGCCAGACAGACAGAGAGAGACATAGAGACAGAAAGCAAGAAATCACCCCCCAGGGTGGATGGCCACGCTGCAATCCCTTCTCCTCCATTCTCCTCTCGGGATCTTGAGCACGTACGCACACGGGTGTGAGTTTAACCCACCGGGCCTGGGACTCGAATTGTAGTCGACTGCATGGGAGTCCAGCGATGTAGTCATTAGGCCAACTGCTGGTCCCAATGCACCTTTTATTATTGGGTACTTGGAAAATGTCTTGATGCGTTTTTCTTCGATGTTTTTCTATGCAAAGATGCATCATGACTTTTCCAACAACCCAGTAAAAAGCTATGGGAATATGCGCTCTATCAAAGTGAGTAAACCAAGAAGGAAGATGACCTGGGATCCAGAAATGGGGATCATCAAACCCAGGAGTGAGGCCAAGGACTCCATGGGGCGACAGAGACAGGAAGCCCTGGGCAAGTGCCTCGATGCAGACAACCTGTCCTGGTGTGGTTCCACAGCTTCTGGAGAGACTTAAGAAAGACCTTGGGAGAATTCCCAATGTCTCTGAACATCTTGGCAGGAAATTTAGACTCTTGTAAGCATTTGGGTTGAATTAGTGTTGAGACCATAAAAGCTAGCCCAGAAAGAAAACCAACAACATCACGAAGGACAGTTATTATCGGTAAGGGAAAACTGAAGTTGGAAGGAAAAGCAGCTGTAGCTGCCACACTCATCTGTGAGGAGCGTCTGCTTAGTCACAGTACCGTGTACCCTGGGCCTGGTCAAAACTAAGACGCGACCACGGAAGGGATGGTCAGCCAGACTGTGGAGTGGCGGGAGGGGACGGGAGCTCAGGCCTCACTGTCCTGGTAGGATGTTGATGGGTGTTCCCCACATCGACATACCGAGAAGTAGCAATGTAAGCATGTCACCTGGAGACGCAGAGGTGAACACCAGAAGATTCCATGCCGTCTAGCGTGGGTTCTGACTCCTAAGTGCCCCCCATCGCCTCCTTTATTACAAATTCAATAAAAAATGATATATATTGATGGGGGAAAAATGATTCCATGTGAAGAGTTTCAAGTATTTGTTTTAAATGGTTCAAACAGTGACTTTTATGTTCCGTGAATTTTATCTACATTTAAAACATAGCAGGGGGAGACGAGAAACATCTGGGACCTTTTAAGGTCTGGGAGTATTCCTGTATAATGTGAATTTTAGAATGTTAAACTATTTGTTACAGTAGTATTTATACTTTTTATTGCTCTGTGAGTTGTTTTTTTTAGATGTGGTAAAAGAACAGAGAACGTAAAATTTACCATCCAAGCGTACAGTTCAGTAGTGTTAAGTATAGTCACATCGCTGTGTAGCACATCTCCAAAACTTACTCTTAAAAAACTGGAACTCTGTGGGACCAGCAGTTAGCGTAATGGCTATGTCGCTGGACTCCCATGTAGTCTACCACAGTTCGAGTCCTGAACCTGGTGGCTTAAACTCAACAGCGGACGCGAGTGCGTGCGTGCCCAAGATCACAAGGGGAGAATGGAGGAGGAGGGATTGCAGCGTGGCCATCCCCCCTGGGGGGTGATTTCTCGCTTTCTGTCTCTCTGTCTCTCTGTCTCTCTGTCTTTCTGGCGAGTGCACGTGCCCTATAGCAAAAACCTCTCCAAAACAAACAGACAAACAAACAAACAAAAAACCTGGAACTCTGTACCCATTAAACAGCAACTCTCCATGTCTCTGTCCTTGCCAGGCCACCATTAAAACTATTTTTTAAAAGAATAGTTATTTTTTTTTAAATTTTATTGTTATTTTCTAATTTGCTATAGGGCACATGCACTTACCAGAGAGAGAGGGAAAATGAGAAAGCAAGCTGCCAGATCTGGGACTCAAACTATGGTCAGCCATGTGGGTGTCTAGCACCACCACACCACCTGCTGGCCTCATTAAAACTGTTTATAGGGGCCAGCAGGTGGTGTGGTGGTTAAGGTGCTGACACTCCCACATGACCAACCACGGTTCAAGTCCTGGACCTGGTGGCTTGCTTTCTTACTTTCTCTTTCTGTGTATGTGTGTATGGTTAAAATTAAAAAAAAAAAAAAAAAAGAAAAGAAAGAAAAAAGAAAAAAAAGAAAATTATAAATGAATGAGTAAATAAAATTAAAAATAATTCTTTAAAAATAACTATTTTTAAGGATAGCATTTGCTGAGGTTATATATGTACAAGACATAGTTCACATTTTTCACAAATCTCACCCCTCCTTATTTTTGTTAAAATTTTTTGCTTAGGGCAATGTACTCACTAGAGAGAGAAGGGTGGAGGATGAGAAATAATTCCCTGGGGGACTGGCCATGCTGCAATTCTTCTCGGGATTTTGGGCATGCACACACATGCACCTGGTGTATTTTCCAAGCTGCTGGGTCCAGGACTCAAACTGCACAGTTGGCCATGTGGGATCCAGCCACTTTAACCACCACGCCACCCAGCTGGCCCCCAAAACTTTTTTACAGTTGAAGATGCTGAGTCTCGGAGAGGTTAGGTAATTCACCAAGCTCACTCACACAGCTTTTAAGTGGCAGAGTTTGAAAGCCACTTAAAAGCAGATCTGTATGCCTGTCCTAAAGCCGTCCTCCTGTGTGGAGCAGCCGGGGGATCACTGTCATCCTGTCTCCCTCTTTAGGCCTCTGGGTGTCTCCCCCTCCCCCCCCTCCAGCTCCTGTCCCCTGCACACTGGAAGGAAGGGATGAGATGCGCATGAGCACCCGGGTGCCTGCAGCATCTCGTCCTGTGCCTGCTGCACCCTCTGGCCTGAGTCTCTCTGTGTGCCAACAGGTTGGTGGGACGAAGACTGGCGTGGTGCGGTATGTGGGAGAGACAGACTTTGCCAAGGGCGAGTGGTGTGGCGTCGAACTGGATGAGCCCCTTGGGAAGAACGATGGGGCGGTGGCGGGCACCAGGTATGGTGGGTTTCCACCAGGGAGGGTGGAGGGGGCACCTCCTCACCTGGGATGGGTGCAGGGGTTGGGGCTGGGACGTCTTGGGAAGGTAGCGCTGAGCGTGTCATGCCAGACGCCATGACATAGGTGTTCTCTTCCCCCTCTCTCAACAGCCCCCTAAGTAGGTGAGAGCGTCACCTCATTTTACAGATGAGAGGACAGAGACCAGAGAGGCCATTGCTCAAGGTCGCACAGTCACAGGCAGGCACCAGGAGACTCCCGCTCTCTCCATGCCACACGTGGCGAAGCAGGGAGGGGCACTCCAAAGGAGAGGGTCCCCGGATGACACCTGAAATAGTGCCGGGTGCTGCACAGCCAGCGACAGGCCTCACCAGTGGGTTCCGGGCTTTAGCCGTCTCTGGTGAAAGGGAACTGGCTGCTGGGGCTGCTGTGTGGAGGAGCACCCGTGACTGTCGGGCTTGGTGGGTGGGGAGTGAGGTGGCCTGAGTGCCTGCGCTGGCTGTCCCTCGCTGCACCTTGACTTAAACCTTGAAGGAAGATAGGTGTGACTTTGGAAGAGGCCTGAGGAGAGCCTGCTAGGAAGGGAGGCCATCTGGGCAAAGTGGGAAGAGGTGGGGTCGCGGTTTCAAGGTGAATCCGAAACTGGGCAGGAAGAGGGGAATCTGGAGGTGCCATGATGACCTTGGCCACCTTGTTTTCAAGGTGAACATTTCTCTCAGCCCCCTTGCTTTCAGAACTCAGGGGCAGATTGGGCAGCAGCTCCTGTGCCACCCCAGGTGTCTTCTGCAGGTTTCTGCTTTTCCACATGGGTTGCTCCTTAGGCAGAGAGCTAATAGGTTGCAGCTGCAGAGCGAGGCTGCAGCTATGTCTGAGGGTGGGGTGGGGGTCTTTCAACAGTTTGTGGGAGCCACATGCAGTGGGCTGTGAGCCGAGGCAACTGGATGGTCCAGTCCCAGCTTCGCCATTAAACCAGCTGTGTGATTGTGGGCTAGTTGCTTAACCTCTCTGAGGCTAAATAGTCTCGTGTGAATGTAGGTAATGTTGGGAGGTTGAAATGCTCATATAAAGGGCCTGGCACAGAGCAGGTTCCAGTTATCGTTATTCTCCCACCTCCCAAGAGTGTTTCCAGTGGCTGTTCCCAGCTGCAGAGACCCTCAGGCCCCTTTCTGAGAATCCCAGCTATTGGTCTGGAAGATTTCCACTGTGGGGTCTGGGTGATGGGGCCCTGAGGAGGTGGCGGAGGCTCAGGCTGTGGGTCCCTGACAGCAGTATGGGTCTCTCTTACTTTCCCAGGTACTTCCAGTGCCCACCCAAGTTTGGTCTCTTTGCACCCATCCATAAGGTGATCCGTATCGGCTTCCCGTCCACCAGCCCAGCCAAGGCCAAGAAGACTAAGCGTATGGCCATGGGGGTCTCGGCACTAACCCACAGTCCCAGCAGTTCCTCCATCAGCTCCGTCAGCTCCGTGGCCTCCTCCGTGGGGGGCCGGCCCAGCCGCAGTGGCCTGGTGAGAGTGGGGCTGGGGAGGGGGGATGGCCGGTGTGTGAATGGGAGGGTTGGGATGGCTGGATCCATGTGTCCTAGTCTATCCCATCTTGTTCTGGTTCCAAGCATCACTCAGTTTGGATATTTTTTTTTTTAAACAAAGATGAAAGTGCATATATTTTAATAGTGTGAACTCATCCGTTTACATTTATTGTTATTTTTGTGTTATTGATTGTTAGTAAACCTAAGTCCTTACCCGTAGTTAAGGAGAGTCTGTGGATATAGGACAAAGGATTTTAAAAGGCTGAGACAGGTACTCTGGGTGACAGAGAAGAGGATGCTCAGTGAGTCTGGGTAAGGGGCCTTCAGTCCAAGTTCAGTCCAGGGTGGGAGGATCCTTCTGAACTGGAGGAAGGTGGCTGAGGTGAGGGAGCCCATCGTGAACATAGCCTCAGGGGCTGACTCCCCTGGGAGAGGGGGTTCCCTGGATCCCAGACATCAGTTTCCCTCTGGATGAGTTGGCGGGAACCAGGGAATCCAGGGCAAAATCAGAGGGAGGAATCTGCTGGTCCCTGGGGTTTAGGCTGGAGCCGGCTAACCCACTGGCTCCAGATCTCTGAGCCCTGCCTGCATGCACACCCTCCTGCAGCTCACGGAGACCTCTTCGCGCTACGCCCGCAAGATCTCGGGCACGACAGCCTTGCAGGAGGCGCTGAAGGAGAAGCAGCAGCACATCGAGCAGCTGCTGGCTGAGCGGGACCTGGAGCGGGCCGAGGTGGCCAAGGCCACAAGCCACATCTGTGAGGTGGAGAAGGAGATCGCCCTGCTCAAGGCACAGCACGAGCAGGTGGGTGCAGGTGGGGTCCTGGGCCACACCCAGGACACCTCCACGCACACTCAGGAGGACCTGGGTGTGTAAAAGTACTGAGATACGCCCACATGCTCCACCTTCCAGGGAGAGCCCTCTGCAACCTGTGAATTTCCTTCCTGTCTTTTTCTTTGTGTGTACAACTAAGTTACACGTACTTTCAGAAGCCGGCTATAAACTTCTGTGCCTTGAATTTTATTTTATTTATTTATTTTGCTTTGCCTTTATGGGGGAGCAGGAGGGGAAAAGAGAGACAGAGACAGGCAGCTCTGATAGGCTCTCCCTGTGTCCGATCTTCCTGTCCTAGCCTTTCAGCTGGGATTTCAGGCACACATCTCTGCACGCAGCATGCTCAGGTTGGCCTGGAACCCAAGCCCGGGCCTCCCTTGTGGCTACTGGCCTCCCAAGCAGCGGCACCACCTATGTGCCACCTCGCCTGTTCCTGCAGTGTGAGCACTTTTTAGGTCGTGGAAAATCCTGCACCGTCTCGGTGACCGTGTTTCTGTGCCCTTACTGGTGTGTCTGGTCCTCAGCTGTTGCCTACATTGTTTCTGGTTTTTCACTTCCCT